GGCTAAAAAGTCTTCCATCGTAAATTCACTATTTACGTCTCCCGGTGCCGTGTCGGTTTTGTCGCGAAACTTCGACGGGTCATAACTTCTTCATTATAACTCGGATTTCGGCGTTCTTTATATGTACGGAACCCTCGTAACATATACTACCACTTGGTTAAGATTAATCCTTCTAAATAATCTTCCATCAAAAAGTCATTTTTGATGCTGATTGTCTTTAAATTGACTAGCCCAGATCTACGGGCGTTACATCTTGCACCCCTTTCACTTGCTACCTTTATTCTATTAACTTTAGGTCTACCTTGAATTTTTCTCTTCAATGGTGGCAAAGGTGCAATGAATTCCGTAGATGGCCACATATTGCTACCATTCATCCCACACATTGGATTCTTGTAGGTGTTCTTGTAAATTGATCCATAGTACATTGGATCCACATAATTACCAACATCACTATTTAGGTATGAGATAGTTGCAACAGAATGCACACATCCATACCCATTTAGTTGTCACACTCTATATCCACAACATAAGACTCTGCCAAATTTCTTGTTTCAAACTGGTTTAAACCAGTTGGTAAAACCTGCCAATACTTGTTAAAATAGTATACAAGTTAGTATATAGTGTAAGTTATCAATTAAAAGTCAAAATTAAAGTTAATGCCTTTGAGCTCTTTTTAACTAATTCAGTAGGATTCTAATAGTTGGACATGGTTTATAATCAGGCCATGAACAACCTTTGATGTTCAAATTGAATTGCCTCTCCATAACATACAACCTAATTTCTTCTAACATCGTGATTATTGGTTTTTTTCTTGCATCTCTAATGACATTGTTAAAACATTTAGATAATCCATTTTCAACTGCATCACACATCCTTCCCTCTTGAAAGAAAGCACTACACCATGATTTTGGGTTCTTTTCCATAAGGTAATCAAATGATGTAGGATTAAGTAATTGTATTTCCTTCATGGCAACATTGAATAAAGGATCAGTGGATGCCTTGCATGCCTTCCAAAACAACCTCTCAAAATGTACACCATTGAATCTTTTCCTAAAGTTGGCAACAATATGCCTTGCACACTGTCTGTGTTCAGCAGTAGGCAATACTTCCTTCACAGCCTCCAACAGCCCCTACATAATTTAAATTCATCTGTTAAGAAAATATAAATTCATTAAGAAATAACATTAAGTTGTATAGTAAGTGACATACCTTATGTTGCTCTGACATCAGGGTTTCTAGATCATCTTTAAGATTCTCCAAAAACCATTTCCAATTTTCTTTGTTTTCCACACAAACAACTACCCATGCTATTGGGAAAATATGATTGTTAGCATCTCTTCCTACGGCACATATCAACTCTCCACTACACAACCCCTTTAAGAAACAACCATCCATGTTTATTACTCTTCTACAACTGCCTTTCCAACCTTGCTTCAGCCCTTCAAAACATATATAAAACTTACTAAAACATGTCGTCCCATCAGGCATACTATTGACATCCATTTTGATAGTTGATCCTGGATTGCATCTTCTTATATCCTCACCATATTACCAAAGCTTGCCATAATGCTCAACTAGTGTGCATTCAATTAGTTCAATTGCATATTTCTTTGCTCTCCTACATTGTACCATACTCACATCAATTCCAAATTTTTGTTTCACTTCTTCCTTAAGTAGCCTAACACACATTTTTTGTTTTTGTAAGAATTATGTTGTAAAATGGATACCAATCCATGCATAGTTTACAATTGACCCCATTTTAAAATTTCTTGCACAATTATGCTCATCTATAAGAGACTTAATCTGGAAAGAATTTTCTTCACTCATCCATGAAGCCCACAATCTAAACTTGCATTGCCTTGAACAACATTTAACTAAAAGCCTCCTACTATCATTTTTTTGTAGCACAATTGACACCCTTTAGCAACAACATAATTACACAACATATGTTTTAACTGTTTAGGACTTTCGTCTCATTCCTAACACAGGGTTTTGCTTTTTCCAATGAACATTTTCATTAAAAGTTGTTACCTCCTCATGAATTGGCACGTTTTCATCCATCTGATCATATGGATCCTCATGAGATGGATCCTCATGAGGTGGACTGTTTGGAGTTGGCTGCTCCTTGGGGCAGAACTTGTTCAAAAACGCATCATTCAAGGTCTTGTTCATTCGAATGCAATCACGATCTTCAATGTTACCTTGCACTTGCACTTCATCTAGGTCAATGCCTCCTTGTGTCTCAGCATGCAATTCTTCTATTACTTCACCTACACCAGAAAACTTGTCCTCGGGGGTGCATACTTCAGCTATCTCATCAACAATCCGTTGATGAACATTAACACCAACATGATCCATGTACACAAAAATTACACAACCACAATCATACCCTACTTCGATCAACTCCTGGTAGTCTTTAATAGTTGCTATTATCCTGAATCCATCAGGGAACTAAATATCGGGCATGCAAAAGTACACATTAACGCATGTCTCCTTTGCGAATCTTTGAATGAACAATAGAAATTCATTTTTGTCCATTCCAGCAAAATCCACATCCTCAAACCTTTGCTCAGCTCCATCTAAGTAACTGATCACTGGATACCTTGTAAACAAACCAGCAAAATGAAGATCGATCTTCATGTAGACGGCCATAACAAGAATCCAAGGGAGACTTTTTTCGAGGAACAGTAGAAGAAAAGAGAAGAAATGGGCAGATGAAACCGAGTAAAGAAGAATATTTCTTGCAGATGAAGGGTTGGTCTCATTTAACAAGACATTACGTGACATGGGATTTGGACGTATGAGGTGGCTTTTTTTTAAATGACATGTAAAAGAAAACCTGCTGATTGGGATGGGCGTCACCGGGTGACCCCTTCGCTTTTTAGAAAATGGTCTTATTAGCCGGTTAAATGTGACTTCATGCCCTTATAAAAGCAAAAAATAACATAAATGACCTTTTAAACCAAAATGTGTAAGTTCGTGGAGCTACAGTGACATTTTCCCATTTGGGAAGCATAGAAGTGATTCAGAATGCATATTTTCGAAGTGGGGTTTTTTATGATGAGTTTTAACTAAAAAGACAATATGTTAGTAATGTTCTTTCCGAAGTAGGTTTTTATGGTGTGATAAAACTAACCCTTCTGAAAGTTGGGAGAATTCTAATTGATAGGTCACTTTTTATTACATCATTGTATTTATCCTTTATAACAATGCACTTTCACTTTCTTACCTGTAAAAGTTTAAACGACTTATTCTCATGATCTCCATATGAAGTAAAGTCTTACGCCAATCGTGGGTCGTGCTTAGCACGACCTTTACACATTTCTAGTATATATATATATATATATATATATATATATATATTGAGTCGTTGATGTTAGGTACCTAATATTATGTACCACAGTCCTTAAAACTACGTAGTTTTGTTAAATAATTTATTTTTTTTGGAAAAAAATTAATTTTCTGGAAAAAATGATACGTTTATTCTTTCCTTATTTTTATGTTAACACTAATCCATTTCTTGATTTTCAACTGCTAGCAGGATCCACGTTTTGAAAAAAGTCAAGATCAAGAAATTAAGGTCCTCCAAAACAATCTGATTCAATAGAATTCGGTCTGATCTGACCTTGTTATACGACTTCTCCTTCGTCTTAATTGCGACATGCCATGGAAAGAACTCAGTCTCCAACGTTTCTTCTCAATTGCAGATGTGGGAATTGAAAGTTATACATGTGACTGAAAATCCGTCACATTCCAGAATTTGTAAAAAAAAAAAAAAATCAATCTCCTTTAAAATCTACAAATCCTCTGTTTTCTAAATTATTAGACATCGATTTCATTTTCAAGTTTTCTGAATTATTAGACATCGATTTCAATCTCCTTCAAAAACTAGCTAAGTAATTATAAGCAATAAATTAAATGGGTTTAGGCTACTAATGCCTTGAAAGACTTTCCATAAAGTTCACCTTTCAATAAAGTATATAAGAAAGACAACTTATGATTTTTGGTAAGTTTATACAAGAAAATCTAATGTACTTGTCTCCTATTTTCCTCCATCCCCAATTCCCAAAACCAATTACTTCAAGGCTTCTTTTTTGTTCTTGTTAATTGTTTACTAATACTAAGGAAGAATGAAGATGATGGATTCCTTTATTGATGGTGTCTAACAACATTTTGTAAAGGATACATATTTATGAAGGTAAGAATCCTAAACATCTCATGGTTGATACTAAATTAGTTGATTATTGTATGTGTAAATAGATCCAACTCTTAAGGTTGCTAAAACTTTAAAACCGTAGGCGTATATTTTGTTTTGCAATTTGATTCCTCACACTATTTTTTGAATAATATAAACTCCAACAATGATATGAGAGCTAGATGTTTCGACAAATAATCACTTTTTTTTTTAATTTATCTTTATCGTTTTTGTTCATTGTCGTTCTTGATATTCTTCATAAGGATATTTTAACATTAAAATTTAGATTTTAATGTGTAATGATTTTTATATATAATTTACCTTTTTAGGAAAAATATTATTGAAGATATTATGATATTTTTTGAATCATATGCATGAGTTACAAAACAAACCATTAAAATCATTCATTAGGACTATTTGAGTTTAAAACTGTTTTGTCCTTAGTTTTTTACTAAATTAATTCATGACAGCTCATGTAATACTTTCTAAGAACAGGCTTGAGCAACGCATTAATGTTTTTATTTCCTTTTATTCACAGAATGTAATTCTTATGCTTTTAATAAGGTTATTTGCGAAAAAAAAAGAGTTATTATAAAAAAGTTTATTTGGAAAACTTGGTAAATTAAAAATCGAATTTTGATTATATATATACTTATTTAAATTTGTTTTTAACATAAAAATGTTGACGAATATCTTGTATGCATGCAACTTGTTCGTAATACTATTTTTTTTACTAAGGATTATACAAATCAAACATCATAAGTTTAATTTTTTTTTTTCATCTTATTGTTTGAACAACTTGTATGGAGGCAGTGTACGAGAAAGCAATTGTGTTGTTTTATTGATGAAATAGATTCCTAATGTGGATCAAAAACAGAAGTAAAAAAACGGTATGTGTATTAGTATTCGGTTAAAGTTGATTATGAGGCTCGTGGATCATGACGATTGTTCCTTGGAGATTAAAAAGGGAATCTGTAATCTTGATTTGAGATTACTAAAGGGAAATGGGAGGATATTTGATAGCGTTCTTGAGGATTTTGTTGAGGGCAGCATGGCCAAGATCAATACCACATATATCGGCCAATCTGATAAGGTATAAGAGTACATCTGATAGTTCCTCTCCCAGATGCTCTTTCTCTGATTCCTCCCAGCTTTCCAACCCTTTTTCGACCTCTCCCTTCCATTGAAATATCTCTGATAACTCCCCCACTTCACCCACCTGCATTTAAAACATTCTCCTTTATTTATGTAACCAATGTAATGAAGATAACACAAATACAAAGGGAAGTAGAGCAAAGCAAAATCGAATGAACTACAAAAGTATTTTATATCTTTATCATATTTTGACTATTTTTATATTATTCATTACAAAGTTATCAATACGGCTTAAAAGTAATTTATACAAAAAGTATCATCATAAAAATTATGTCCAGACTTTTAAAAAGAGTCAAGATGATTATTAAGATATATTTATTATTCATTGATAATTTTATTAGTAAGTATAATGTATATGTGAATATAAGATGATATTCAATAAAGAACCATTATTAACAAAGAACAAAGTAACCAATCATGAGCGTCGAAAATTATAATGATCAACGGTCAAATGGATGTATACTTGTAAATTTGACGCACATACACCAGAATATACCATAAAACTCACTTATTTACCAAAAAACTCACATCTTTTTTTCGTTTAAATTTTTTTAAGTCGCGTTTTTTTTTTAAAAAACCCGAATATAACATTGTTCACGATTTTCCGTCTTCTTTCCATAAAGATTCATGTTGATATATAAAAACAAACTTTTTTTTAAAAGAAAAACCCACTTTTTTTATTGTTTTTTTTTTCAATATTTAAGTTTATTTTTATCCAAAAAACTATTTATGCCAAAAATCTTAATTTTTTGTCTACTATTAGTAAACATCAACATCGAATAAAAAAAATTATGAAACCAAAAGCACACTATCATAACCTATAATTGTAATATTATTCAATCATATATATTAAAATTAACAGATGAATTCTAAGCAATTTTCTTTATTTTTGTTAATAAAGTAATATTATCTTATTATATCGTGTAAATATAATTTATGTCCAAATTAACAAATCACATTTAAGACTTTTAACAAGTCATATATTTGAATAATGTCATTTGTGTACGATTATAACATGCAAAATTAACAAATCAAACTAATCATATATTAATAATGAATAATCATTTATTCACAACAAAATCTACATTATTAATAAATTATATATAATTATTTAAATATGTCTATTTCATTTTGATTATTCATATATGATTATCGAGTAATCATATATTAATAAAAGAATCGTAAAATCTTAATTCTTTTAAAAATCTGAATATATATATATATATATATATATATATATATTATCGTCTTTAGAAAAAATTAACAATTAGAGAATGTTTTTAACAAAATATTTTTTGTTAAATAAATGTTAGTGAAAATAGATGTGACAACTTTATAAAATTATTTAAGATATATAAATAATAAATTAGTTTTTTTGATGAAAAAAAAAACTTTAGAAAAAATAACTATTGGAAAATGTTTATAAACAAAATATTTTTTATTAAATGTAAGTAGAAAGTTGATAGAGCAATACTAATAAGTCTTTAAAAGGTTAACAATTGATGATATGATACTTTTCCTATCTCTAGCCATTGCAAAATCTTCTAGTTTCTTAAAGTTCTATAATTTCTTCACTCAAATGTTTATAAGAGTACAAGAGAAATGATGGAAGTACCATGGCAAGGAGTAAATTTCTGGGGGTGTGATATTTTTCCCAGTCTCTAGCCTTTGCAAAATCTTCTAGTTTCTTAGACAAATCCTTCAAACTTACGCCCATACCATCATTTTCTCCTTCTCTAATGGCAGCCATGCCTCTTTGTGTCTTCAAACAAGAGTATTCTCTAGCATTTATAACAAGGAAAAAAATATTTTGCTATTATTCATGATATCTAATTAATTAGGAAAAAAGTGATAGTAGTGGCGTTTGATTGGCTAACAAAAATTGCTTTATTAGTCTATGATTCCTAGCATCATTGTTAATAGCTTAATATTTTTATTTGGTTAGAGAATAAAGTACTGGTCTATATAAGAATATGCTAGAAACATTGAATTGATTATATATATATATATATATATATATATATATATATATATATATATATATATATATATATTCAATAGAAAACCATAATTAACCAAGGAACCAATTTTTTTTTTCAACTTTTAAAACTTATTTTTATCAAAAAAAAAAAAAAAAAAAAACTAAAAATACAGAAATTCATAACTTTTTATCCTTTTTTCCAATGATATCTAATTCGATAATTTTTTTTTCGTCAAATTCACAATGTGAATCTTTGAATATTCACAATGTGAATCTAAATTCACACGTGAACCCGAAAAATATATTTAACATTCACAATGTTAAATTATGAATTTAAAAATTTTTAGTTTTTTTTTTCGATAAAGAATAAGCTTTAGAATTTGAAAAAAAAATTGGTTTCTTGAAGAACCAATAATTATGGTTTTCTATTGAAATTTTTATATATATATATATATATATATATATATATATATATATATATATATATATATATATATATATATATATATATATATATATAGAGAGAGAGAGAGAGAGAGATATATATGCATAATCATGTTAGACTAAATTGAATGAATTTTTTTTATCTAAAGATAATTTTAATACGAAATTTCATATTTGTATTGGCTTTGCCACGTCTATATACTTAAAAAAAATTGATTTTTTTCTCTATGTTTTAAATATGTTTTAAATATGTGTTTATGAACAAAAAAAAATATGAATATACATCAAAATTGTATTTTTTAAATTTTTTTTTAAATATTAATTTCGATATATATATATATATATATATATATATATATATATATATATATTTTAAGTGAACTAAAAAAACTTGTTTCAATATTTTTTGTTTTTATTTTAATTCAGCAAAAATATTATGTACATTTTGAAATTAATATATAAAAAAAATTCATTTTTGATGCATATTCATATTTTTTTTGTGCATATGCACATTAAAAATATATTTTGCAAAAAAATCAATGATTTTTTTTTGCAATACTTTTAGATTAGCCAAAATCAATGCACATGTGAAATTTGGTGCCAAAGTTGCATGTAGATAAAAGTTTAATAGTTCACTCTTTCAATTTAGTTCACCACTCTAAGGTCTGTTTTTCAGGTATGTTATTTATTAATTTTATGAAATAACAAAGTTGGTTTTGGATAGCTTCGCTTCGCGACTAGGTGCTGGTCGCAGTGAGTGGCAATACATTTAGTCATGACGCGACCTTAAGTTGATCGTGACGTGTCGCCACCACAACTCAGAAGAACACTAGGTCTTTGGTTTTGGACCCTATTTAAATGAACGAACGTCTAAGGTTTCCTCTATTATCAGCCTTCATCCTCTAGAAACCCTAAAGCTTGAAACCCTAACCTCCTTCCATGAATTCTAAAGATTTGATGTCATTTGAGTGAAACTATAAGAAGAAGCAAGGTGTGTTTGGTGCAAGGGAAGCTAGATCCAGAGAGTATCTACCTTCTTATCCTCTCTTTTTGCTCTATAAGTGTTCAAGTTTGCATCTTTATGACACTATGATTCTAGATCTATAGTTTTAGTCACTTTAGTTTCTTTTTAGTATGATTTCCTTGGAGTTTGGAAAACTCCAGGTTGGTGGGATGTTTTGGATGGTTTTTAGGACTCAAAGTGGTAAAGAGATTGCATGCATATGCTCTCTTTAAATCATGCAAGAAAACCTTAGCCTTTTTGGCTTGTTTTGGATATAGGGTTAGTGTTGGGCTTGTTACGGGGCTTGGATGTTAGTAAAGTTAGGATTTGTATCCATCGGACACATCCCAATATGGTGATTGGAAAGTTATATCCCCTGACTTAAAAGATTAAGAACTTAATATAAGTGGTTTTTTTGCCTAGGAGGCGCGATGCAACCAACCCTTGGTCGCGGTGCAAAGCAAGGCCTGGTTTGTGACTATTTAGGATTGTAGTGGTCGCGACGCGCCCATGATGTAAGACTATAGTTGGACTATAGGATTTGTATGTTGTTGAAAGACTATAGGTGGTATATAGTATTTGTATGTTGTTTTCTATAGTTAGACTATAACATCCGTATGTTGATGAAAGACTATAGTTTGACTATAGCATTTGTATGTTAATGTAAGACTATAGTTGGACTATAGCATCCATATGTTGATGTACGACTGTAGTTGGATTATAGCTTTTGTATGTCGATGTAAGACTATAGTTAGACTATAAAATTCATAAGTGTATGCATTGTATGTATGGTGGAATATGTGGTATATTGGGGGAGTTCACTAAGCTTTGTGTTTACCCGTTAAATTTAAATGTTTTTCAGGTTTTCTAGTGAGAAAGGGAAGGATGGGTGTGATTGTACACGCATCTATGTTTTGTTTTGAGGCTTATACTGAACTCTATGTTTAGTTTTAAGATTTTTGAATCCAATGGATATTTATGTTTCTTTTTATGAAAATGGTTTTTGGGTTGATTAATTAAACTTCAAAAAAATGATTGAAAATTTGGGACATCACAAGTTGGTATCAGAGACCCGATTTGAGGTATTTTGATGAATACAAGTGGGTGTCCAAACTCTAACTAAGGCTTGAGAAAAAAATTTATAAAACCTTTTTAGAAAAGATTTTTAAAAAAGAAGGATTATGTGATGTATACACTCAGGCGGAGCTTGGGAAGGAATGTGATTTCCAATATACCCATATTTGTTTTGTATGTTAATTATGTGGTTGATTGATAAACATGCTAGAATATAGGGTAAGGATATGATCAGGGTTTGCATCCTACATTAGCTGCTTAGGAGAGATGCCTTGTTTCCTTTTGTGTTGATCATTATGTGTTATTTGAATTCTATGTTAATATTGATGAGTAGTTAAGTGAATGCTTTAGGATTGTAAGCAATTAGAATCAGATAACCTTAGAATTATTGATTTGGACTTATTGTATGCTCTTTGTTTGGTTGTTGCCTTAGGGTAGGGTCAATTATTCGAATGTCTATCTCGTTCTTAACTATGTACAACTTTGCATTCATAAGGCGATTCGTCGATATTAACGAAAATATCATTTGGCATGGTAGGGTTGTGGAATCCGAGAGGGTCTAGGTAGATTATTAGTATGTATGTGTAGATATATATATTTGTATGATAGAACATCAGGTAGTGGCTATAAGGGGAAACTTAGAAACTTTAGGGTAATTCTTGGAACAAGTATGAATATGTGTGGAAGGTAGTATGGACTCGTACTATGAAAAGCACGGGATATGTACTTGGATCGGGAAGGATCATAGGGTTCTGATGAGATGATATTTAGGGAAATAGTGTGGGGATAACACTATTTATATGTTGTAACCTTTTCCAATTTGTGTCTATAGTATGGTAACTACGAGATGGGGTAAGAGCGGCTTTGGATCACGTTTGAGTGATCCAGACTTACGTGATATGATTGTTGCTGAGGTCTCGCAGGCCATACTTGATGTGATACTAGGTATATTTGTGAAGATCAAGGAGGATTTGATACTTATGTTCAATGAGAGGTATGCAGCCGCTCAAACATTTAGAGTGGCTTGACAACAGAGGGCTAAGGGCGTCACCTTTCGTGACCTTTTCACATGTTAGTCTCCTTTGTTCAAAGGGAAGAAGGATTTAACTGTCAGCATGTGATGGATATTAGAGGTGGATGGTGCCTTTTGCATAAGTTTTTTCCCCGAGGAGGCAAATGTTAGGTTCGTTGTAAACCTATTACGCTATGCGACAAATGATTCGTGGGGATGGTGACTCAAGAGTATCTAGCACTCAAGTATGGCCTGCGAGACCTTACTTGGGAGGAGTTTACGACTCGGTTTAGGGAGAGGTATGATCCCACGGTGGAGATTGAGCGAGAGACTCGAGAGTATCTGACACTCAAGCAGACTATTGAGTCAGTGGCCGAGATCAGCAAAAAGTTCATGAAAAGGGAATTCTTTTTCCCTAAATATGATGTGGAGGAGAAGATGAAGATGTCTCATTAATCTGATATTTTGAAGATGAAGATCAGAGAGTTTGTGATTTCTCCAAGTATTGGATGCTTGGTGAGATGGTGATTGTGGCCTAAGCTCTGTAATTGGAGTTAGAGACCCAATAGATGAAGAGGAAGCAGGTATATGTCCAGGCACCATTAGCAGCAGCTAAGAAGTTCAAATTTGTCGATGACCGTTCTGGGAGACAGAGGGGCCATGGCCTTTGTGTCAAGTGGGAAGAAGCTCGAGGATGCATGTACGTGTCTATGTCTATGTGTTTCAAGTGTAGACGGGATGGTCATTAACGTCAAGACTGTAAGCATGAGGTGAGGGTATATGTAACGCCTGGTTTCTGGTACACTTTTATTTATAAATTATTCATTTTGATAGAGCTAATCGACGAGTTGGAAGCCCCAGACTCGTCGAGTAGAAACGAGTCTTGGACATGAGTTTTAAGCTATCTACTCGACGAGTCGAGAGCCCTCGACTCGGCGAGTAGGTCTGCCAGAGTGAAACCCTAATTTCGGGGTTTTGCACCCTATTTAAGCATCTTAATCCCCACCTTTTGGCCTCATTTCCATCCTCCAAACCCAAACCCTAATCCTCAAAACCCTAGAGCATTTTGTGAGTGTGTGAGCCATTCTTGAGTAACTTTTGTGTGTTCTTGAAGCTTGAAGAAGAAGAAGGAGATAGAGGGTCCAAGGAGAAGATAGTAGATCCAGAGACTTCCTTCCATCCCCTTCACTTTCTGGTAATCAAGTCTCTAACTTGATCATTTGTTCATTAGATCTCATTATTTCCACTTTTTGAGGGTTTTGGTCCAAGAAGCTTGAACCTTGGGATTTGGACGTCCCAAGC